TCAATCTGTTTGCTGAGATGTAGCCATCATTCTCTGGCTCGGGTGCGAAATTCCTCCTCAGTGTATTACCTCCCGGGGGGACTGATTGGTACCTCTCCACGTCAATGATTCCATATCTCCCATTTGGAATGAGAGTTCTTGCTTCCCCAACTCCTCCAAAATTCCCAGAAATTGAGTCTGAAGCCAACAGGGTTTCTGAAGAATCGAAAACCGAGTCTGTCCTAGCAGATCTAGAATCATTACTGCTATGGCAACTCTGTGAGGAATCATCATCTGAGTGCTCAAAGCTATGGTACACCTGAAGAGGCGGTTGATCAGGCGAAGGAGGATCCTTCGCATTAAGAACATCATAGAAAGATTTCTCAGCAGCATGGAGGGCCAAACAGTTCTGCAACATGCAGGGCTTATCCTCCAAGTCCTCTTCCAAAAGAATATCACTTATGTACTTGAGCACAGGGCGACTGTCACTAATGTCAAAACAATCTCCATCTGATCCCGAGCTCGAAAGCCCGGAATCAGTTGGATGGTCTGTGGTAGTTGGAAGGAAAAGTGGATTGGTAGGTTCATGATTCACTTGGAATCCATTGACAAGATTCTGAGTCGAAACAAACTGAAAGTTTTTCATGGAAATTTATAATCTTTCATAAAGGGTACACATAAAAACAACCAATTTAGCAGAAACTGGTAAGAGTTTTCTGGTTTTTCCAGAAAACCCAACTGAGATATTGGAATTTTGGAACTGATGGCCAAGAAAAATTGGGCAAAACAAGAAAGTGATATAATTTCAATCTTATTTTATGCAATTCACACACCAAATAAGAAATCAAGCCAAATGGGTAAATCAGAAATACTCACAAACATACAGATTTGTGGTTGTGGAATTCAAGCAGGTTATGAACAGAATCAAGATTTGAACTTACAAATATTGAATATTTTCAGAGTACCTCTTGATCTTTTGTGTTGCAGAATACTTCACACCTGAAAAAGATAGAAACATAAGTGGGTCAGAAGATATGATTGCAAGTATATCCAAATATATATATGTGTGTTTAGTGATAGGATTTTTTGTTTCTTTATACATACATACATACATACATACATGAACCTTAACCTTCTGGGAAGGTCTTAAGTCTTAATCTCATCTTCAAGTTGGACAAAGTCACCAGCCACCTTGTGCACCATCAGCGCGTATGTGTGTGTGTATAAGTGAATAAGGACCACAAACATAACGATCATACCGACATGGGCTACCCAAACAACTTTTCCGAGTCCATGCGTGGGCTACTATAACAACTTTTCTAAGTCCATGCGTGATTACTGTATATTGTTGTCTGTTTTGTAGGTTAATCATGTGTTCTACTCAAAGTTAGCCTGTGATCCCACATAACCTAGTACATGTTGTTCACGTGTTTAATTTTTGTGGTACTAACGTCAAGAGTTGTGTTGAGAATATTTAACTCACGTTGGAAAATGAATTTTTTTGCATGGATAAGTTAAATCCCAAATTCATGAGAAATTTCTCTCGTTTCTGAATCTAATACCGTTAAATTATTAATTTATGTCAGATTGCTAAGTGAGAAATAAGCCAAAAGGAATGGAAGATTTTGTTAACGTTAGATGTAATCTCACAGGAGAATGAACGGACTCATTCTTTTATGATGAGCCACATTTTTTCTATTATGTCGTATTGCTTGTCGACAAATTACAATTCTTAAGATAAGTCATAGTTCTTATCATACTTTTTTTTTACTATGTGTATGCTAGTACGCCAGTGTTATGGTGTAATTTGCACATCAAATACACACGTAGTAAATCCGACATCATCATGATCATATTCCCAAACTAAAAAATTGCAGAAGATATTTGATCAAGCTCCATAGACAGAGATGGATAAGAGAAAATTAAGATTGAAAAAAGAAAAGCTACAAGAGATATTGATAATTCAAAGAGAGTACAAATTTTAGGCATCACATCGTGAAACTCCTAAGCAGGCTTCAAAGCAGAAAGAGCAATGACGATTCTTCCTTTCCATCCTTGCAGCATCCAGTGGCCATCTTCATCTATTTGAAAATCGTTATGATAACGCATCAACTTCAGCATGGTTTTCACTTTCTTCAAGAGCTCCTGGTCCAGGGGCACCTGCTTGAACCCCGCTCGGTGATACCTAACCTGCCAATGCTTGTATGTCTCCGGCCTTTCAACTCGATTCTAGTCCCTCGCACGCTATGACATTCACTATATCTCTACCATATGTTGCTTTTTCGAACATTAGGCGATGTTCATCTTCACAAGGAATAGTAGCCTCAAACATATCAAACAACGCAGAGTAGTGGAAGGGCGCCGCTCTGAACCGCGTGACAAAGAAGGGGGAATTGTATGTCCCACTGACAACTCCGTGAATGAAAAGGTCTGGATTTATTTTCTTGATCAAGTTTAGGACAGTGTCTCTTGGACTGCTCACCACGACTGTTTCATCGGGTATGTGCCTTAATCGGCGCATACAGTTAACAACAATCATCTCATATTTGTCAACTTTAAGATCCTCAAATCGGATAGTTTCCCATTTCTGAGCAATGACATTATACTCAAATGGGACATCAAATCTCTTAGCATATTTTTCTAGGCGACACATTGTCTCTTCAACCCTTTCAGTAGGTCGAAAACCTGGTTGCGGGAGCTCAATTGCTGTGATACGAAGATTAGGAGGTCCACCAGGTCTCTTAGAGAGGCGTTGGATACAGCACAGCCATTGGAAACCATAAGAAATACCAAAATGGATAATGTGAACCCTCGTAGCATTTTCTGCTAGTTTCATAATTATTCTATTGGCGAAGAAGTACAACATCTTCTTGAAGGGCATGAAGTAACATACACCTGGTGAGCTTTTAAGATTTCGGTAGCTGGTGTCTGCGTACTTAAAAGAGGAGAATATGAGGGGGTTCTGGATCCAGCCAAGCGCGCCTCTAGGGCGTTAGCAAAGTAATAAGCTAATCTCTCGGTTGCATCACCATTGGGAGAAGAGTGCTGCCCTATCTTCTTGATTAGTTCACTCGCAGTTCGCTGGTCATGGCTTGCCACAGCTTGTGCGCATTGAGTCAGTATTGTGCACAAATCTACTACTTCCCTGTTCTTATTCTTTGTCTTTGAGCGTGCTGTTTTAGAAACTTTTGGTTGCTTGTTGCTCTGCAACTTCCCACTTCCATCAGTTTTGACAGATTGATCATGAAAACAAGGCTCAAACTCGTGATTCGCATCCGGACAGAGCAAAACCTCATCAAACATTTCTTGTGGCTCAGGGCCATCAGTAGAAGCAGCTGACTGCTTGTTTTTTTCTCCCTTCTTCTGTATAATCGCTATCCTCCCTCAGGTGATTTTTCTTTCCCTTCTATCTATACGTTGAGTTGTATGCATCCGATGGAGACTCAACCGGACAAGATTGAACACGAGAGGCTTCTGAACTCGATACCAAGTCTGTCCTAGCAGCAACACGGCCATTACTACTATGACAACACTGTGAAATCATCATCTGAGTTTTCAAAGCTTTGGTGCACCGGAAGAGGGGATTGAATGAACGAAGGAGGGCCCTTTGGATTGAGAACATCATAGAAAGATTTCTCAGCAGCTTTGAGGGTCAAGTAGTCCTGCAACATGCAGGGCTTACCCTCCAAATCTTCTTCCAAAAGAATATCACTTATGTACTTGAGCACAGGATGATTGCAATCACTAATGTCAATAGTATCTCCATCCGAACCAGGGCTCGAAAACAAAGAATCACTTGGATGGTCTGAGATGGGTGGAAGGAAAAGTGGAATGGTATGTTCATGGTTTACTTGGAATCCATTTACATGATTTTGGGATTAGCTTGAATCATGATTTACTAGATTTCGAGCAGAACAATGGCGAAAAGGGAATCTTTCCGTGGGAACAGAAAATTTTTCAAAAGAAGGGTATCCCTAAACAACCAATCTAGCAGGAACAGGTTTGTTTTCTTAGTTTCCAAGAAACTCAACTGTGATATTGGAATTAGAGAGAGAGAGAGAGAGAGAGAGAGAGAGAGAGAGAGAGAGTATCAGAAAACAGGTTATGAGCAGAAACAAGATTGAGTAAGAAAAAAAAGATTGAATGAAAGCTGAAACTCTTTGCAGACCTGAACTTAGATAAGTTGGTTGATGCAGTGTGCTCCCTCCTTGCACCGAAGTTTGAATCCACTTCTCTGTAGTTTAAATTAAATTAGTTAGAATGTCGCTCGAAAGAAAAATAAAACCTGAAACTCTTTAAAGAAGGTAACAAATATAGCAGAGGACCCCTTCACTCTTGGTCTGTATGTCTAAAATCAAAATGAATCAGAAAGTGATGAAGGTATATATCAAATTATAAATCTACTTGTTCATAGTAATGAACCTTCCTTCTGGGGAGGTCCTTGATAGATGTAATCCTAACTCTTGAAGTGGGACAAAATCAGCCCCCACCTTCTAATCAACATGGGAAAATATATATACGCGCGCGCGCGCACACACACACACACCCACTCACACATAGCCAATTAGGTTTGATATCAGTGTCGTATTGTGTAGGTAAAAAGAATGAGAGATTCTCTTTTGCAACTAAGATATTGTTTCAGTGGCGTTACCTGAATGTTTGCCAAGTGTTTAAAAAGTAAACTACTAGTTCAATAAATGTTTGCCAAGTGTTTAAAAAACTACACTACTCATTCGATAAATGTTTGGCATGCGATGTCTTTAGTTACATGAGAGTATCTCTTGTGAAGACGACCTTGCATAAAGATGAACTGCACTTGGGCTAATCAACAAAATTTGTAAGCCATGTGTTTATTATTTTCTTGATTGTGATTGTGACGTTGAACATTGATCATGCTAATTTGTTTTCTTTTATACAAGCGATATTTGGAGAGCAGAGAACCGAATAAAACACAACACATTAGGGTGAATTCTCTCATCCATTTTAGCTACAAACCTCTTGCAATATGTTAACATTTACAGTAAACCAGAGAACCAAAGTTCGAATATATTTAATACCAAAAAAGTAAACAACAATAGCAGCCTCCGTACTTACTAGGTAGCAGGTAAACGTAAAGCATCTCCATCAACTTGGCCAAGATTTGGAAGTTCACATCCGTTTCTTCATCCAACGTGTACATTGAATCTAGTGAGTTATCCAGTCTAGTACAATCTCAGATACCAAATGAGGCAGTATAGTTAGGAACGAAAACAAGACTGAAAAAGGGTTACAGGAAATATTGAAGATACAAGAAAATAGATTTTAGGCATCATAGAGTGAAACTCCTATGCAGGCTTCAAAGCAGTAAGAGCTATGACGATTCTTCCTTTCCATCCCTGCAGCATCCACTGGCCATCATCTTCAATTCGGAAATCATGATGATACCCCATCACCTTCGACATGGTCTTCACTTTCTTCAAGAGCTCCCGGTCTAACGGGAGCTGCTTGAACCCAATCCTCGCATACCTAGCCTGCCACTGCTTGTATGTCTCAGGCCTTTCAACTCTCTCCAGTCCCTCACACGCTATGACATTCATTATGTCCCTCCCAAATATTGCTCTTTCGAAGAGCATTCTTTGTTCATCTTCGTGCGGAACAGTGGCCTCATACATATCAAAGAACGTATAGAAGTGGAACAGTGCCTGTTTGAACCGTGGGACAAAGGCGGGTGCATTGTATGTTCCATTGACAACTCCATGCACGAAAAGGTCTGGATTGAGACTCTTGATCAAATTTAAGACAGCATCTCTTGGATTGTTCGCCATCACTGTTTCATCAGGCATGTGCTTCAACCGGTGCATACAGTTAACCACAGTCACCTCATTTCTGTCCATACGAAAATCCTCCAGTCTGATTGTTTCCCATTTCTTAGCAAGGACGTTGTACTCAAATGGGACATTATACCTCTCACAGTATTTAGTCAAGCGACGCGCCGTCTCTTCAATTCTTTCTGCAGGTCGAAAACCTGGTTGGGGAAGCTCAATTAATGTGATACGGAGATTCGGAGGCCCGCCAGTTTTCTCTGAGAGACTCTGGATAAGGCAGGGCCATTGCAAACCATAAGAAATACCAAAATCAATAATGTGAAGCCTTGTCGCCTTCTCTGCTGTTTTCATAATTGTTCTGTTTGCAAAGAAGTGCACCATCTTCTTGAAAGGGCATGCAGTAACATACACCTGGTAAGCCTTTAAGATTTCAGTAGCTGGTGAGTGCATCATAAGAGGGCAATATGACGGGGTTCTGGCACCAGCCAACCGTGCCTCTAAGCCATCAGCAAAGTAATGAGCTAGTCGCTGGGTTGAATCACCATAGGGCGAAGAGTGCTGCCTTATCTGCTTGAGTAGTTCACTTGCAGCTTGTTGGTCATAGCTTGCCACAGCTTCTGCGCATTCAGTTAGCAGTTTGCACAAGTCTACTACTTTCCGGTTGCTGTTTTGTTTCTTTGCACGTGATGATTTAGATCCTTTTGACTGCTCCTTATGCTGCAACATCCTATTTCCCTTAGTTTTTGAAGATTCATCATGTAAACACGAGTCAGGTTCATGGTTCACACTCTGTAGTACCGTATCATATATTTCTTGCAGATCAGAATTGTCAGAAGCAGTAGCTGACTGCTTGTTTCTTCTTCCTTCTTCTGCGTCATAGCCATCCTCCCTTCGATGATTCTTCTTTCCCTTTGGTCCATTTATTGAGTTGTAGCCATCATTCTCCGATGCCAAATTCCCGATCAGCGTGTAAGGACCTGGAGGCCACTGATCGGAACATGGAGGCACTAACTGGTCCCTCTCAAGGTCAATGGTTTCACAACTTTCATTTGGAAGGAACTTGATTCCATGCGAGGGTTGTGACAAATCCCAGACCCAGCCTCTATTAGCAGAAATAGAGCCATTACTGCTAGGAAAACTGGCAATAGATCCATCACTGCTATGACAACCGACATCCAAGTTCTCAAAGCTTTGGCACACAGAAAAAGAGGGTTGGTTGAGTAAAGGAGGGTCCTCCGGATTAAGGGCATCATAAAAATATTTTTCAGCAACTTGGAGGGCCAAAGATTCCTGCAACATGCAGGGCTTACCCTCCAAATCTTCCTCCAGAAGAATATCACTTATGTACTTGAGCACAGGTTGATTGCAGTCATTAGTGTCGATAGTAACAGCATCCGAACCCGGGATCAAAGAAGTGCTTAAATCACTAGGATGATCTAAGTTAGATGGAAAGTAATTTGGGTTGGTGGATTCATGATTCTCTCTGAACCCATCTGCAAGATTCTCATCAGAATACACTAAATTTGAGCCGTCGCCGAATTCAAATCCTTCCATGGGGGCATATAATCTTTCAACAAAAGGGTTATCCATAAAAATAACCAATCTAGCAGGATTTGCTCAGAATTCTTATTTTTCAACACTCAAAAGTGATGTAATTGGAACTGGTGAAAACCAAAATTTGGAACTGATAACCAAAAATGAAATTAATGAAGGAAAAACTGAGAAATATTGCAGAGTACCTGAGAACTTGTGGAACAGCACAATGATCAGACAGATGCTATTTTACTCGTTTGCAATAAAATCTGCAGAAACATCTTCACACTGCATTTAATGGACTTCTGGGCAGGTCTGAACTCAAATAGTATGACAAAGTCAGTTGCCAAATTTTACCAAAACATCAGCTTTAACTTCAACGGTGGGTGGAAGTCAAGAGAATCAGCAAAGATCAGTAGTCCATGCTTTGACTATATAAACCTTTCCTGGGTTCCCACCATAATTTAATTTTCTATACAAAGTTTTTGCAGTGAAGGCTGACCATGTTAATTATAAAATATATAAAAAGATTAAAATTAAATTAATAATCAATAAAGAACGACTAAATAAAAATAAGAACATAAAAAGTAAAACTTGAAAAAAATTCTAATTAGTCACAGTTTACTAAAGCTAAGACAGATTGACCAGATGAGTTCACCAGCAACCTCATAGTACAACACTTTTTAGATTTTTTCCTCTTTAAGTTGCAATTTTCTTCATTGCTTCCATAGATTTGGGTTTCTTATGTTTTACAAATCCACGATCAAGCTCTCATTGGCAGCAATGAATTAATTGAAAAATAAACAATAAACTCACAAAACCAAGTACAAAGCAGTATAAACACCTTTGTTCCTGGATGGAAGATTACAGAAAAAACCCAACACCAAAGATAGTAAAGATTGTAATAGCTCTAGGCCGGTACCCAAATTGAAATCGCCAAGAGAATTTTTCCTTTCCATCCCTGCAGCATCCAGTTCCCATCTTCGTCAATCCAAAAATCATCATGATAACATTTTGACATTCTCCGCACTTGCTTCAAAAGCTCTTGGTCTAGTGGAAGCTGCTTGAACCCAGCCCTCACATTCCGAAACTGCCACTGCTTGTATGTCTCAGGCCTTTCTACTCTTTCCAGTCCCTCACAAGCTATGACATTCACTATGTCTCTACCATAAACTGCTTTTTCAAACAACAGCCGCATTTCATCTTCGCGTGGAACAGTGGCCTCAAATATATCAAACAATGCAGAGTAGTGGAAGAGTGCCTCTCTGAACCGTGCGGCAAAGAAGGGTGCAGTGTATGTACCATTGACAATCCCATGAATGAAAACATCTGGATTAATTTTCCTGATCAACTTTAGCACAATGTCTCTTGGACTGGCACTGCTCAACATCTCCGTCTCATCAGGTATATTCTTTAAACGGAACATACAATTGACGACAGTCGGCTCATTTCTGTCAATTTTAAGATCCTCAAACTTGATTGTCTCCCATTTTTGTGCAATGACATTGCACTCGAATGGAACATTAAATCTCTCAGCATATTTTTTCAAACGGCGTGCAGTCTCCTCAACTCTTTCTGTAGGCCTAAAACCTGGTTGGGGAAGCTCAATCGCTGTGATACGAAGCTTAGGAGGCCCACCAGGTCTCTCCGAGAGATGTTGGATAAAGCAAGGCCATTGGAAACCATAATCAATACCAAAATCAACAATGTGAAGCCTTGTTGCGTTTTCAGAGAGTTTCATAATCGTTCTGTTGGCCACGAAATGTGATGTGTGCTTGAAAGGGGATGAGGAAACAGATACCTGAAAGGCTTTTAATATTTCAGCAGCTGATGACTGCGTACCAACAAGAAAAGAGTATGACGGGGTTGTGGCGCCAGCCAAGCGTGCCTCTAGGCCATCAGCAAAGTAATGAGCTAATCTCTGCTTTGCATCACCACGGGGGGAAGAGTAGTGCCTTATCTTCTGGAGTCGTTCACGTGCAGTTTGTTGGTCATAGCTTGCCACGGCTTGTGCACATTGAGTTAGCAATGTGCTCAAATCTACTATTTCTGCGTTGCTATTCTGTTTCTTTGAACGTGTTGTTTTGGACCCTTTTGACTGCTTGTTACCGAAATGATGACGCCCATGACTGAGTAACACTTCATCAAACATTTCTTGCGGCTCCGAGTCATCAGCAAAAGCAACTGGCTGCTTGCTGCTCCTCCCTTCTTCTGGATAATCACCATCCTCCCTTTGATGATGCTTTTTTCCCTTCAATATATTTGTTGAGTTGTGCCCATCATTCTCCGGCCTCCTCATCAGTGTGCGAATGCCCGGAGGGCACGGACCAGGACCTGGAGACATTAAGTGGCACCTCTCCAGGTCAATAGTTCCAAAACTTTCATTTTGGAGGAACTTACATGCTTCCCCTACACCTCCAAAATGCCCAAAACTTTGCATCTCAGAAAGAGGATCCGAAACCAAAACGTTATCCGATTGAGACTCAGCAAGATAAGATTGGAAATGGGAGGTTTCTGAAGGAATAGAGGTGCCATTACAGCTATGAGAACTCGGGGTGGAATCATCATCCGGATTCTCAAGGCTATGGGACAAAGGGGGTTGGTTTGGCGAAGGAGGACCCCTTGGATTAAGGACATCAAAGAAAGACTTTTCAGCAGCTTGGAGGGCCAAACAGTCCTGCAACATGCAGGGCTTACCCTCCAAATCTTCTTCCAGAAGAATATCGCTTATGTGCTTAAGCACAGGATGATTGAAATCTCCAGGGTCAGTAGAATCTCCATCTGAACCAGTGTTCAAAGGAGGACTTGAATCACTAGAATTATGGTCCACATTTGTTGGAAGGAAAATTGAATAGGTGGACTCATGATCCATTTTGAACCCATTTACAAGATTTTGATGAGGATGGACCCCAAAATTGAATCTTTCCATGGAAACATCACATCTTTCAAGAAGGGTATCCATAAAAGTTTCAACTTTCCAACAATCCCAAGTCAGATTTTTCAAATTTCAAGAAACCCAACTGGCCTGGGATATAAAATTTTAGAACAGATAACCAAGAATTTATGGACAACTTAGAAAATGAAATGAAAAATGGAGTGTTGGCTCATGAAACTCACCAGATAAGAACTTGACCCAATTGGACAAGTGGGAAAAATACCCAGAAACAGATAGCAAGATTCAGACTTTGCACAAATCAGTAAACAGGTATTTTTGATCCAGACAAATCAGCAAACACGCCAACAGGACAATTATAACTTTTATTATTTTATTCATTTTAATGAGTATTTACACGTTTCTTAAGACTGTATTTTCAACTTTTGAAGACTATAACAGTACCCCATTTTTTTCACTTTTTAGAAAGCTTTGGTGACATTCGTGTACAATTGTAAAAGTTTATTGATTTTTCTCGTCAATAGGTAAGTTTCTGACTACTTTATTCTTAATTCTTGATGAGTTTATTTGTGTTGAATTTTAAGAGTTTGTACTTGAAAAGTTCAGATTCAAATTTTGCTATATATTTTTTTTGGATAGATTTCTTAGAAATATAATTTATTATACAAACTTGTTTATTGTTTTTCAATTTGTTAGGTCAACGTTTGTTCAATAAAGAGGTTAAGAACTATTGATTCATTATTTAGAAAAAGAGATGATGGTGATAAATTAGAGAGTGATATACATTTTGCATCTAATGATATCGCACTAGTATCAACTGAGTAGCCTTATGATCCTCACCAGACATCTAATATAATTTCTTACTTCAAATTATTGCTTTTAGGCTTATTATTGTGTAACTTTATGTAAGTAACAATAAAAATTTAACCACTTGATTTTGTAGTAATAATTTTAGTTTAACCTACCCAACAAATAATTCCTGGCTACACCAATGGCTGGAGATCCATCGATCTTTATAGCAATGACTCATTTAGGAAAGGGCTTAGTAAAGTTGGACAAAGTCAGCCACCGACAACCACAACAACCCAGCCTCATCCCTCTAACTTCGGTTAGGATATGTATGAATATTAGAACACCACCTTACTTGGTTTTGCACTAAATCCTCCATTAATTCTCTAAAAACTCCATATTTTTTCTTATGCACTGTTTTAAAAATGCTCACTTAACGCCGCTTAAGCCCCACCTAAGAGCAACTCCAGTGTAAGAGCCCTCCCCCCAAGCTATTCACCATTTAATCCACTTGGTGAATAGTTACTACCCTTAATGAACAGTAATCGTCTTTTGCATCTCCATCATTACATTTCAATAGCCCTGGCAATAGGCAATAAAATATTAGTATTTTATTTATTTATAAAATAATACAAAATAATTTTAATTGTAATTTTGGATAAGATTTTTAATCGTTCTCGTTACGCCATGTGTCATTAACCGAAGTATTATTAAATAATACAAAATAATTTTAATTGTAATTTCAAATAAGATTTTTAATCGTTCTCATTGCGCCACGTGTCATTATCTGAAGTATTATTAAATAATACAAAATAATTTTATTTGTAAGTTTGGATAAGATTTTTAATCGTTCTCGTTGCACCACTTGTCATAAAATCCGAAAAGACAATTATTGGGGATGGATTTCCAATAAGATTTTTAATCGTACTCGTTACGCCACGTGTCATTATCCGAAAATACAATTATTGGTGATGGATTTTTGATAAGATTATTAACCAATCACGTCGCGCCACGTGTCATAATCTGTTTACAATCTTTGAGGATAAATTTCCATCAGATTTTTAACGAATGTCGACATGCCATGTGTCATTATCCGAAAATACAATTATGGGTGATGGATTTCTGATAAGATTATTAACCAATCACGTCGCACTATGTGTCATAATCTGTTTACAATCTTTGAGGATAGATTTCCATTAGATTTTTAACGAATGACGGCATGCCACGTGGCATTATCTACAACCTAATCATTTTTGAATCCTCTATATAATCCACCATCCATCCTCACAAATCTCACATCAATTTTCTTAAGATCTTTATCATTAGTCATAGTTTCTGTTTCCTTCTTCACAAAAATCTCTATCATTATTCATAATTTCTGCTTCTTTCTTACAATGTATTCTTCTTCCTCAAGGATGATGTGGGAACTCGATCAGGAAAAGTAAGAATTGTTTAACCAATCAGAAGGAATGTTCAATCTCCAGGTGGCAAAATATGAGAGGGATGAGGATGAGGAGCGTAGAAGGAGAGATGACGAAGCAAGAATAGGCAGAGCCTCACATTCCCGTCGAGTCATCCAAGATGTGGCTCGGATCTGCAGGCCCAGCCGTTCCCGAAACCTTGATAGAAGCAGGCAACAACGAGGTACGGAACTCTTGGACGATTATTTTGTCCGTAATAGTGCATTCCCTGATACATACTTTAGACGTCGTTTTAGAATGGAATAACATTTGTTCAACAAAATCATGATTGCTGTTTGCAACCATGATTTTTACTTTGTGCAAAAGAATGATGTTTTTGGTGCTATGGGTCTCCTTCCTCAGCAAAAAATTATTGCCACCTTGCGTGCATATGGAGCATCTGCAGACCAAGTGGATGAGATAACGAGGATGGGGAAATCAACCATTCTTGAGTCCCTGATGAGGTTTTGCGAAGCAATCGAATCTATCTACACCGCAGAGTACCTCCGGAAACCTACAAACATGGACTTGCAAAGCCTTCTGAAGAAGGCCGAGATGCGTGGTTTTCCTGGGATGATTGGAAGCATTGATTGTATACACTGGACATGGAAAAACTGTCCAAATGCATGGCAAGGTGCTTATGGGGACAGAAAATGAGCAAAAAGTATCATTTTGGAGACGGTGGCATCTTTTGATACATGAATTTGACACGCCTTTTTCGGGATTCCGGGAGCTCAAAATGACCTCAACGTCCTTGCCCAATCCCCAGTGTTCAACGATGTCCTGCAAGGAAAGGCACCAAAAGTCACGTATGAGGTCAACGAACGTATGTACGACGGGCCATACTACCTAGCTGACGACATTTACCCAAGGTGGTCAACATTTGTCAAAACAGTGCCACGTCCGTAAAGTGCAAAGGGAAAACACTTTGCAAGCTGTCTAGAGGGGTGCAGGAAGGATGTGGAGCGTTGTTTCGGTATCCTCCAAGCTCGCTGGGCGATCGTCAAGGGTGCTGCCAGGATTGTTTGATGTAGAGTCGCTTTGATCCATCATGATGACGTGCATCATTCTTCACAATATGATTGTGGAAGATGAGTAGGATTATGAAGCCGTTGATGAATATGAGCCAGACACGATGAACAATTCAAGAACACGTATATTTTGTGCTCATGATGCCACCTATGAGCCCGTGCAACATGAGCCATTACAAAGGGATGGACGTTACAATGAAAGGGTCATTCAACGATATATTGCATTTCAAATGCTAGACATGCGCAATGCCCGGTAAAATGACTTGATAGAGCACCAATGGACATTGAAACAAGCTGAAGATAATTAAGTTCATTTAGTGTGTTTTTTGTTATTTGGTATGTTTATGTAATTTTATTTGGTGTGTTTTATTATTTGGTATGTTTATGTTATTTTTTTTAGTTCAACTTTAGTGAGTTTTTTTATTATTCGGTATGCTTATGTAATTTTATTTGGTGTGTTTTTGTCATTTGAATAAATATTCTCTTAGTATAAATAACTTACCAAATTCATTTGAATAAACATTCAATAAATTGGAAACAACATAAAGTACTATATTCAATAAATAATAAATTACAATCCAAAGTGATTGGAAAATTATAGGCTCCGATTAAAAAAACTACTCTATTCATCATCACTTAACCAATTTGTGGTACTAGGATGATCTTCTCTTATGGTGCTAGGACCATCTTGGCTTGCTCTCGCTTCTCTTGCACGTCTCATTCGCACCACGTCCGCTTTCTCTGACTTCCAAAAAAATTTAGAATTTGGAGACTTCCTTTCTAAAGGCGTGTTCATAATCTCACAATATCGTTGAGCCTGTCTTTCTTCTCTAACATGTTCCCTTTCTTGCCTAAGTAGCTTTCTTTCTCTCTCATTAGCTTGAAATTCTCTCTCAATAGCTGCAACTTTTGCGTCCTCTCTAGCCTTATCAGCCTCATATTTCGCCATTTCCCTTGCCAAAGTCAATTCACCTTGGCGAGCAAGTTCTTCCATGAACTTTGCATAATCATTCTTGGAAGCAGTCCCTTTTCTCTTTGAAGCCTTCTTACCTTGAGGCCTAATTGGATAACGGGTCGAACCCGACACTTGTTCAGGAAAGGGCGTTTCGGGCACTTCTTCTGCATCATCTTCATGAACATGCGAACCATGATCGGGTGTAGAGTGTAGAGGGGTGATGTTCATGAAAACTTCTGGACCGATAGACACAACTCTAAATTTAGGACAATCTTTGACAATATTCCAACATTCCCACCGATTGAATGATTTATTTTTGCTTTTGGTTTTGGCACCGTACCAAGCTTGTGCTTGAATTTCCTACACAATGTGGGAGAAGAAATAATTATAATGAAAATAGGTAACAAATAAATAATACAAACAAATAATTATAATTTAAGTACGTAACAAATAAATAATACAAACAAATAATTATAATGTAAATTTGGGTATAGTACAAACAAATAAATAATATATTATTACCTGATCCGAGTAATTTTCCCTACTTTGAATATTAGTACTAGCTTGTGCCAATGCGTCTCTCCACGTACTAAACGATTGGCTAAGTAATTTCCAACGACTGGACATCGATTCTTTGGTTCTTTTCCCACCAATTTTCTCAAGATAATTGGTATGAATAAGACTTCACATTTCTCGCAACTGCATCTCATTACCTGTAAGCGAACTATGAGTAACTTCAACCCAGCTAGTACACAACGCAACATCTTCAAGAAGCGACCAATTCGTACCTACATCAGTAATCATTTTGTTGAAAAAAAATGGATTGAAACTTTGAGAGAAAGAAAGGAATGTGATTGAAAGTAGTTGAGAAGATATGAAATTGTGGTGTAAGGTAGATGATAATGAGAAGGTATTTATAGAAAAGTAAAAACAATTTTTTTAAAAAAAATTTCAGATTTTTTTTCGAATTTTTTACAATTTTTTTTAAATTTTTATTCAACTAATTAATCTCTGCCATTGGATATAAAAAAAAAAATTTGAATTCCAACACTCCAGATTGTGCCACGTGTCACAATGATAACTTTTCATAATTTTAAAACTATTTTTTCTTTTATTTATTTTATTTATAAAGAAGATTAATATCAACCGTCGATCTCAGATCGAACAGTTGATATTAAATAAATTTTTTATTATTTTTTTTACCGTTGAGATCGAACGGTCCAAATTAAAGAGTCGTTGAGATTGAACAGACCGTAGGAAGCCACATGGCTTTCAACGGTAACATTTCAGTTCTGAAAAGTGGGCTAACTTTTCTGAAATTATGTCGAGCGACGCGTCCCCACATGCGAGTAGGGTGCACGCGCCTGATGAAAAAAAATAAAAAAAGGGTTTGACACCAGGCTGACATCAGCGCTAACGTCACATCCACTTGGGCTCTCGGGCTGGCAATTCTTCACAGGCCCTGAGCTCGGGCCTCCACCTCCACTCGGACTCCTTCACGCTGGAGCAAATCCACAGGGCCTCGGGCCCTTTTCTCTAGCCTGTCCCCCGAGCAATCCACCACGGTGGAGTTGCTCTAAACGCTAGCATTTGAAAATTAAGAAAAGACGTATAAATCTACCTACGGATCTGCCTAACTCACCTAGACCCTCGATCGCAACTCTCAATTAGATATAAAATAGATAACATTTATTATATATATATTATTCTATTTTGTAATTTTTATATCGTAGGTTTGGGTTAACCATACACTGGCAATACAAAAAAATAGAAGATTGACTAAGTAAACTTTTTAAGGTAACAATATATTGATTATGTTGTCACTAATCCTACTGTGTAGGCATACTTTTCATTTTTTTCCTCTCACCTATAGTAGTATTTTGTTTTATTTGAGTGTAAGATTTGATTCAGTTCAATCGAATATGCAATCTCCATAAAGTAAACTCAAAAAATTAATATATGAAGTGTGAGAGAAGAGAGAAAAGCTGAATGATAAAGCTCCCTCAACCTCATGTTAGGGTTTTGTAGCATGAGCTTGTTTGCGCAAACATAATAACTACGGAAAATGGAGCCCTTTAGTATTTACTAAAAATTGGTACCTATGCATTGTTACGGGATCAAAAATTATATGAAAGATTGTCTGAAAAATATAAAAGATTAATATTATTTATTTTGAAAACATTAAGAAGATTTTTACATGGAAAAAAGATTGCAGATTTGTTTTTTTACGAATGCCAAAAAGATTAGATGTGAGTTTATTTAAGTAGTTTCTGCCAGACAACAATTTTCCTATGACAGATAGTCCAATAATATAAATGTCCACTAATGTTTATGAATCAAATAAATTGAATAGGCAACAATAATTGGAAAATGATGCCTGCAATGTAAAACACAAAGACTAATACACGCAAAAACATAAAAAGAAGGAAGGAGGATTCTCTATTTTTTTATTCTTATCCCCTTCTATCTCTTCATTTCACATATTACTTTTTATTTTATTATCTTTATAAAAAAATTAATATAAGATGTTGACATAACTTAACTATGATCGTTCAAATAAAAAACATGAAAAAAATAAAAAAATTAAGAATATAAAGAATCATCCTCCCTTCAACTTTTGACAATTTCACACAACTTTACTTTTGTATGCTCACACACACACACAGAGCCTTCGGCTAGGAAGAGGCTGTCACGGCTGTCACACTGTGCCTTCTGTCACACTCTGCTTTCTGCCACTTTTGAAAACATTGACATCTATAAGAAAAGTTTTTTACCACTTTTAAAAGAATAATGTTATTCGTTTCGTATTTTTATATCATAATTATATATTAATTTAAATAATATCTGTTGTTCATTTGAAAAATTTACAAAATTCAAGAAAAAGAAAAATTCTTAGTATACCACAATTATTATTTAAGTAACTACTTTTTATTAATTATTAGTTTATTAAATAATGAATTCAATTTAAACATTTGATTAATTCAAATAATATAATTGTCTACATCAAGTACTAGCTACGATAGTATGAAAATGTGTACAAAAACATATGAATAGTAGCATTACGCCTTTTGAAAACATTGACATCTAGCAGAAAAGTGAGAAAGAGAGCTGAGTGAGATAATCGATAAACAAAACCCTCCAAAATCACAAAAGGAAATTTGAACAGAAACCAAATTTGCAAATCCAAAATCACATAAACGAAATTGAAACACCCACACTGAGAAAGCTATAAAACTCACCAGGAAACGTTAGCGTTTCTGGGTAAAAAAAATTATTCGAATTGAATTGAAGAACCGAGGAAAGTTCTACTGGTTCAGTAGTTTTTCCAGCAACAAAGCACCTTTCTCCCTCATTTTTCGCCATTCTGATTTCTGACCATTTCCAGGTTGGAGAATAAATGGATAATCACCTAACCATTCGTTAAAGAAAAACAGTTGCATTAGAATACCCTCTTGTACTCATAAAACAATGATAATATTACATCAGAAATACCAGAATTCTTACCAGCATTGGGTTTTTAGCTGAGAGCCTATAGGTGTAAAATTCTCACCAGAACTACGTACCAAGATTTTTCCTGAAACTTTTCTTTATCTTCGTGAGAATCAGAAGACGAACTCGAGCATCCTCCTCCAATTAGATGCCTGCATAAAGTCCCCAACAAATTCAATTAGTGTTTAAAAAGTAAAACATTCAAAAGCAATATTTGTGATACTTTTTACTACTTGTTTGAAAAAAGCAATGCTCAAGAATCCTCTAGCCTCTCAGAAGAGGTCATCAAACCATATAGAACCACAAACACAAAGCACATAAGAAATGCAAAGATGCAGATTTTCAAGGAAGCTTAACAACCTCCAGTAGCAAGAAAAAAATTATTGGAATCAAACCAAAAAAGCAGAGAAATTAACAACCCTTACATCTAATCGAAGAACAACTAAGGAAAACGGTCAATATTTTCAACAACGACGCAAGACGATGAAGAAAACAGAAGTCAAGGCGGAGAAAAACGGACGGCGAAAAACAAAGGAATTGGAGATATGTGAGAGAGAATAGCCGAAACCAAACGAAAGATCCAGAACAACTAGAGCCAAAACATCCTCCGATGATGGAGGAATCGAAGGGCAAGACTGCACTTTCACTGTACAGAAGCCGAGATAAAGAGATACGAAACAATTATTTTGAATTGCTACTAGAGCCACCCTAATGTTTTATTTCTCCGTCTACATTATAATTTCACCTACCACAAATTGTTAAAAATTTGAAATGTTATCTTCCCACCAACTATTATTCCTAGAATAACCTGTATATTGAAATTCTTTTTATTTTTAATTTTATTGAATAAAACAAAATCTACAAAGACACGATTCAATTGATCAAGATGCACAACGAGGATCACATCTATACAATACATTTTACACCATTCCTGGTGTCTTCTCCATCCTCCAGCATGCCACCTGCCCCGAGAACACCGTGTTCCACTTCATCTGGGCCTCCCACAATAATCGGTATGTGGATTGTGGACAGACAAGCCTTTATCCTAGTTTTCAAGGCTATTTGCTGGTACTAACAACAAAAACAAATAGATCAAATTAAAATGGCCAAAGGTATTGGGGACTTTATTTTTTGAACATTTACAGAGGTGGGTTGTTCTAGAAGATAGGGAGGAACAAACCTGTCAACCTAGAGAGCATGAGTTTTTCTTTTCTTTGGTCTTAGATTTCATTTTACAAGAGAATAAATTTGGTATTAAATTTTTTTATTAAAAGTTGGGTAGAGAAATAAGACCGTGAGGTGAGGTGGGTTTATCATCACTCTTATTTTGAGGGTATTTTCGTCACTTTACTGTTAATGAACAGTAACACTTGAGTTTGGGTTTTAGTATATATAAATTTTATTTGAACTGGCAACATGATGGATACCCAAATCCTCTTTTTATTTGAATTAGTTCTCTACTGAAATGGATATACAGTTCACTGTGTTTCGTTCTTTTGTGAAAAATATGGTTGGAAACAAGAGCAAATGTATAAATGTTGTCACTCCAAAGCAATGGAAGCTTATCAAGATAAACACTATCACAGAGTAATTGTCTAAGCCAATACGTTGTTTACACATGCTTACGTGGACGAACGATTGATGTATATTCAACTTCGGTTAATGAATGAGAAACAGCGAACTGTAATATGTGAAAAACACATTAATAATAGTCACCAATTGTTACCCTAGCTTATCGATGTAGCACATAGCGCTAGTTTGATATTGTTGTGCTTTAATAAAAAACTTCTTCTGATATGCTGTGAGAATAAGCAGCTGTGAAATAGAGCAGCATAGTGTTTGGTAAAATTTTTTGTAAAAGTTTTTTTGGAAAAAAAAAAAGAAAAAAAAAGCAATATTATAGTGTTTGGTAAACTTTTATGTGAAATAGCTGTGACTGTGTGAAATGATGAAAATGATATAATACTAGATATGTCATTAATTTAATTTTCTTAACAAATAAAAGTAAATTACTAAATATACTTTATTTTTAAAAGAAAATTATTTATAAACTTTATCTTAAACATATAATCTAATGTTTAACATGAAATCATAATCTAACGTTTAACAAGAAATCATAATCCAACATTCAACATATAATCCAATATTTATGCTGCTTAACGTTTTCAGCTTTTTTTTTCAAAGCTCATTTTTGCTGCTTCACCTCTTCAGTTTTTTTTCATCCAAAATTATGAAAATAAGTTATTTTTAAATGTTTACCAAACATATTTTTTAGTTCAATTTTTTTATATTTATTTTTTATAAAATCATCTCAGTACCATACGTCTATTGATGCTGTTACCATGTGAGACACCAGTCATAGAACAGTTGAGATCTAAAATGCTATGATAACTACTTAACAAAGAGGATCCTGTTGACAATTTAGTTACTGAAAAGTAAACATCACATGTTTGGACCTTTGACTTTCTTTTGTTTTAAAAAACTTTTGTCATGGTATACAGTATACACTGACGAATTTTCTTCCATATGACAAGTCCATTTGACCCGATTCTATGTACCTAAACATTCTGGTTAACTATTATTGTTAAAGTGGAACTGAATCCCCTTCAGACCCAAATAAAATAAACCCCTTGAGCAAAGAATTCGGACCGTTGAAATTTGATCAAACGGTTACAAACAAGAACCCTCTACAAATTATAATAATTATAACCGTTGAATCAAATTTTAAAGGGCCAATCTTTTGATTCTTAGGCTCAGTTTATTTGAGTTAGGAGGGGATCCGATTATGTCAAAGTGAAGGTCATCATTATCTCAATACATGCCTTTTTTAGAAAGGATTTCCATTTCTTAAAAAATGAAATTAGTCGTGAGACTCATTTTATATCGAATTTCAACAATTTCAACCATCTATTCTTGTAAGTGTCGATTCATATATTATCTATATAAAAATTCAAATCAATCCGAAACAATTTGCCCATTTAATTGACACGATAAAATTTTAATATTTTTTCGAACATAGTATTTGTCAATTTCTTTGAGTTCAATTAAATGACTCAAATATTTCCAATAGTTGATATTTTGCAATGATAATCTATGAGGTGCAATTTGAAAAATAAATGATTTGAAGTTCGATGTGATGTGAATCCACAACTAATCATCATTTAAAAAAAAATGAAGATTCCTTTTCTTAGAGAACCTGATCTAAATATATATAGATGTGTCTTGTCTTGGAAAACATCGGCTCCATCTGTAATACACAAATTTTCTGGTAGGAGGTCGAAAAAACATAAAACCATGATTTTTACAGGGAAAAAATATATTTCTTATTCGGAGAATATCTTTTCTAATTTCTTCCTCATCACGTACTCAGTCATCATGCGTAGTGAGTGAGAAAAAGAGAGAGAAATATATCTTGAAATATTTATCGACAGTACCCAACTTTATAATAATGTACAAGAGGATGATCATTACAATTCTCAAAGGGCAATAGCACCAGTTTCTTCACTTGTACACAGCGAAGTATAACCATTACAATTCTAAATGCATAAAGACAAAAGCAGAAGCAGTTCTCTAATCATAATTAAGATACTATCCAAATCAAAATTTAACAAATTAATTCTCAAATAAGGATAGGAATTGATCTTTGGATCAATCGTGTCTGGACAGGGACTGGTGGCTTCAAGTAGTTAAAAAGTGACCGACATAAATAGAACTATAAAGCTAATTAATTAAAACAAGTTTTTATTATAAATGATCTTTGAAATTGACTAACACTATTAAATGAACCCTGAAATTGATAATCGATAAATGTCCTGAAAATAGGTGTCACAAATCAATGTGGTCATTCCGTTACAATTCGGTCAAAATTTCTGACTGATACCTATTTTTATGGAGTACATTGATCGATTTTCAATTTTAAGGATCATCTTGAAGGTGTAGGTCAATTTCCAGGACCAACAATTTGTGATAAAAAAAACCTAATTAGGGAGAGTGCTATTAACACACATTTTTTTTACCTCTCACACACCTTTGTTAAGTGTTTACCGTTGATTTTCTTCAACTCATTCGATCAGATAGTTAAAAATTGAGTGTGAATAGTACTACCCATAATTAAAACGTTATGGTACTTCAACATCAAGGAAATAGAAATCATATAAAGAATGGAATTTAACGAAAAGCTTATCGTACTGTTTATTTTAACGAAAAATCATATTTTTACACTAAAAAGTCAATCCTGATACTATTCACTTTACCCTTTATTTTGTCTTTATTGTTAAAACTCAAAGTTTTCAAACCTTTTTCATTAATTTTTCTTATAAAGAATACCAAAAGAATTACTTATGCGGAGCCTTGTTTCTTTCTCGGCTAGTTCAAAATTGTTTGAGCAATGAGAAATAGTTCTTCATTATGCAGAATAATATTTTCTAAAGATCTTTTATCAAACTCTACTATTTCAAAATTTCTCAACCAAACTATCGTGATATTATTTTTATTTCTAGTCTTAATAAATCAGAAACTTATAACAAACTCAGAAATCGGACGAATTTCAACTTGAACAGCCCTAAAACTCAGCAAGCAAAGGACGCAATTCCTTGAGCAGGTTTTTTTTTTTTTTCTCCCTAAAGGATGGGTCAGCGATCATCCCCTATGTTATTAATATAAAAACAAAATATAGACAAGGGGAACACAAAGCCAAACGTCGTTGAGACAAACAATAATCCAACAACACGAAATCACAAATTAAGGTAGCTACCCAGCTCAAATCATCCAATGTTTAATGCACAATTTTATGGGCTTATTAAATAGAATTACCCTTATCAAACTGTTACACACTCAAGCATCATGCAGACTGTTCTTACAAGTTTATTTGCTTCGTTATATCAGTCATGATTTATTGATCTTGGGTTGTACTAAACGCCTTTGGACTGCAGCGGAGCATGCATGCAGTATTCTGCAAGAGCCATCAAGGGGAAAGTATTACAATATGCTGCGTAGTGTAACATGCCACCCTTAAAGAAAGTACCTGTCATTTCCTGCGAACATGAAAATCGAAGTTAAATAAAAGGTTAATTATGTGTTCTGTAGGGATGATATTGTTCTTCTTCTCCCATTAATTTCCGATTGCATACAAAGGAAGCCATTTTCTGAAAAAATTAATGGAAGCTATATTAAGCATCACTATTCAATATTAGTGTATTTTATTTATTTATTTAACTTTCTTCTGAAAACTAGGTGTAGAAAGCGGTACGCAACCTGCTGAGGGAATCCACCATCCTCCATCTGAGAATTGATTAACAGCTTTGCAGCACGGTGGAGAGGAGTAGGATCTCTTTCTGCCTACAAGATTTTTTTGTTTTTAAAGAAGTTAGAATCCTGGATGAATGAAATGTTAATAACAAATCAAAGGATGAGGGAAAAGAAACTGATTACAAACTCTGATTCTTAATCCATTGACAAAAATGAATAAGGAGACTCCAAATTGTTAAGATGACTACCTAAGAAAAGAACTACATTTTGTCAAGAATTAATGGTCTTCTACTACGCTACGGCTTCAAATCTTCTGTTCCAAAACCATGCCTACCTCTAATATTAGATAAAACGTTAAGTTTTGGGATTAAGGCCTAGTTTGGCAGTTCAGACTGTACTGACTACTTTTGTCGGATATGATAAATAGCCACCGGATAGTACTGACTAAATGAGTCGGGCATTTGGTGCAGTATCGAACTAATGACCGTATTATTTATAATGTGTTTGGTACTGAACCAGATAGGACAAGGGAAAAAAATTTGACAAATCTTCGTATTCAAAATATTTTCCAATAACATAAAAGAAGGTTCACAAAATACAACTACAGTCATTACATTATATAGATTAATCCAACCACATATCCAAGTTCATAAAATATATAAATGCAAGTTGGTTTCAGTAAGTAAGAGTTTGTCTAGATAGCCAAAATATATGCATGCTGCTGCTTTGCAAACTCTTCCCTTTGCTTTGCTTTCTCCTTAAACACCAACAAACACAGGGAGCATCAACAAAACAAATATTTCCTGCAATCATAAAGGCCAGATGCATTAATGTTGCAAACACTAAGTCCAAACAACCAATAAGAGAAATTTAACCAACAAAATCAAGACAACCCCACTAAAAATCTGATAATGCAATGAATAAAATAACTAAAAAAGCAAGGAACAAGATTTGAATGCCTAACAAGACAAACAACAAAATGAAGACAAAGCTTTAGTTACAAACCACTGAAGTAAGTGCCATGGAAGGATCAACACACCACTGAAGTGAAACTAGCTAGCGTTTCCTTCACAGAAGCTTATAGCTTCTGTTACAACAGAAAAATGAACCAAGACAGTGTGTTATTCTCAGTTAACATATAAAACTTATGAGAAAATACTACCACAAAAAACACAACAATTTTGTACAAGCATCAAAGACAAGATATTCCATATAACATACTAAGTCCCCAACATATGCAGCCTAACGACTCTAACATGTAAATGGATACCATTTAACACAGTTTAATCACTTCCTTTTGGCCCACATTATCTCTTCTTCTATTTAACCGCTCTTGACAATCTTGCAGCTTGCCCATCAAGTACAGAGTAACCTTTAGAGTTAATAATCTGCACAAATTTTATATAATATCCCATTTGCCCATTACTAATCTTGTTCACCTGAGCATTTCAGTTCAAATTTTTTTACCATTAACGTTTGACCACTCCTTTAATTACTCAATTATTTTAACATCATATCAACAATAAATACATAATAGCTAAATCAAAGCAAACTTTCACCATGCATCAGTCACTCAACAAAAAATCGAAAGACAAAATTTTGAAAATTCAACGAAATCCCACTAACCAAATCTCAAATCAAAGAAAACCCACATAAGAATTTGCAGAATAATGATATGGAAGCAGCTTATTTTTTTAGCACAATTCTCGTGCCAAAATTCGACCCCAACAACAAACCCTAAAATTCGAAAATTCTAATTAAAACACAAAATTACATAATCAATTGCATAATTACAGAGAAAACAATAACTAGATTCAAACAATTGAAAGAAAATTGCAAGAAAAGTAGAAGGAGGGGGAAGAACAGAGGGAGGGGTGGAACCTAGGAAGTGAAAGAAGAATGAGAAGACAAACCTAGGAGTGGTGCGTCTGGAGAGGAAGGAAAGACCGAGAGATTTTCTTGTACCGTCTGGAGAGGAAGAGAGAGCGAGAGTGCATTCTCAAGAGGAGAGGAGAGAGTGTGTTCCGACTAAATTGTACTGTGCTTTTAGAGGGGATAAGGAAACGGGTGTTTACCGTATAAAGGAGATGGGCCCGGATTATTTAATCCGGTGGCTATTTAATACAAATGGACACCAAACACTGTACTCTATATTATTAGTCACTATCCGATGTGTTATCCGACATACCAAACAAAGCCTAAGTGGGTGTTGAGTAAGCATACACATGTAGAAGTATTAGAGGTGGGCATTTTTTTTGGACAAATAATGGGTACAGAAAGCGATGATACATATCTAATTCTGAAAAGATAAAAAAAACATGAAAGCAATGATAAACCTTGAGGAATCTTAGGTGTATTTGCTGCGCTACATCAGTCGTCTATCGAGGCACTTATAATTTGACACATGTTTTTTTGGAATTCTTTTAACAATTTTACAACTAGATTATCATTCCACCTTAAAATAAGGTCTGCTATGAGACCTGTTTATTTTTATTTAAGCAAAATTCGCACTATTTCAACCTATCAACTTCAAAGTCTAAAATTGGGGCTCGACGGCTACCTTATTTGACTTTAACCCGTCCGAGGGCTCGGACATGTTCCTTCCCAAAGCGCATGTGCCTCGTAGGCAACCAGAGCCCAAAAATATCTTGCCCCTTAAATGCCTACGTACACGTCAGCCGACACATTGATATTACTATCGCGATCATGCTAACCGCCTCAAGCACAATTGAAGGTCACCCACCACGAATTACAATTCCTGTCACCGTCAAATAACCGATATACATTGATCTATCTCAGTAATATGATCGAGGTTACTCTTCTCCCCTGCCTATAAATAGAGACAGAGGCATTCAAGCTCTGGACCTTCGTCAAATACAATCTCTATGGTTAAATGAGTGATTCTTCAATTAATCAACCCAACTTCTTTTCAACATAAACTCAATTGCTCTTCAACAAAAACTCTCTTAGTTCTTCAACTACAATCTCAAAGCCTTTCTTCAAAGTAAACACTGCCTATGATCCCTAAGATCTAAAACTTTCATAGCTCTGCCAATCCGTGGTATGATTTGGTGGATGTACAATTCCAACCACCCTGATTTCCTCTTTGAGATGCATATTTTGTACTAAATCCAATCCAACACTAGTGATCTCGGTGGACTCCTCTAGCATTATCTTGTCCCTCATAACCTGAATTTTGCTAAGTTTTACTACTTTCTTTACATTTCCAGTTAATTTACATTTCAAATTATGAAGCTCAGCCCATCAACCTAGATTTTACTTTTGTGAATGTTTGTAACTTCATCATAAAATAATTACATTTTGTTTCTAGTTTTAGTTTTCATTCCGTTTTCATTTGCTATTTAGGCAAGCATACTGAAGTTACACTAAATTTTAAGTCATCTTCTACTCAATGCACATTACAGAACTTAATTGAACCAATAATGTTCCACTTGGTACAAAATCATTTAGTTAGAAGTCAGATTAACCCGCAACTTTCACAAACACTCAAACATAAACATTGTTTGTTGACAGCCTTAAGCAGGGGCATGTCTATTCTCTTTTTCTCCCAAGCTATATAATGGGATTGAGACTGAAAGCTACACTTGGGTAAAATACATATAGAACCTAGTCCAGACTCTGTCCAATTTTTGACACCAACAAGGGGAACGACAATCATTGGCAGATACATACAGTTTAGGTTGACAGGGAAAGGGGAGAGAATGGGTTATTTAATATTTTTATTTTATTATTTTACTAATTTTATGCAAGGTTCTAAAAAACGCTAGGCGCTAGTCGGGCGGCGAGCTAGCGCCTATCGCCTAGGTGGGCGCCTAGGCGGATTTAGGTAAATTTCTTATATATTTTATGAATTAATTAAATTTACTATATCAAATGTAAATAATTATTGACTAATATGCTATTTCTTATAGAAGAACATACATGTGAATGTTTTATGTACATATATGATATGCTTGCCTAGGAAAAAAAACAAAATATTATCTAAATAATTTATAATTTATATAAGATCTACACACACACACAAAATATATATCCCAAACTTTTAAAAATATAAAAAGCCCACATAGTGGGTGGTTTTCATAATTAAAATCATCATAGTCCATGGTTTTCATAATTAAAACCATTAACTTTTGACCTTGGATCTGAGATCCTAGTCCTCAACTTTTGACCTTGGATTTAGATTTAAGTCTCTCTCTCTCTCTCTCTCTCTCTCTCTCTTCGCACTTTCTCTTCTCTCATCTTCACAGACAAGCTGCAAAAATTCGTCGGCATCACTTTTTCTTCACTCATCATCATAGAGACGAGTTGCAAAAATTCACCGGTAGTCTCTCTATCTCTCTCTCTTTCACACTCTCTCTTCCCTCATCTTCACAGAGACAAGTTACATAAATTTTCTACAACGTTACTACTACGTACGAGATCGGAAATTGTAGATCATTTGCGAAAATTGCAGCAAGTTTGGGATTTGCAATGAGATTCGAACCGCCTAGATTGCCGTCTAGCCCGCCTCAGGTGCCTAGCGAGTGCCTAGGCGGCCGCCTATGTCCTCCCTGCCTAACTGAACGTTTTGGTCTAAATTGGGTCGAAGCCACCTAGGTCATTTTTTAGAACACTGATTTTATGTCAAAGGATACAATTGAAATACTATTTCCAACTGTAAGAGAGAAATAAATTATCTTTAAAAAATATAAACATGGCAAATTTTTATTAAGTTGATATACCAAGTCATATTTGTATCGGATAACAAGTCAAATACAATATCTATGGTTAAATGAGTGATTCTTCAATTAATCAACCCAACTGCTTTTCAACATAAACTCAATTGCTCTTCAGCAAAAACTCTCTTAGTTCTTCAACTACAATCTCAAAGCCTTTCTTCGAAGTAAACACTGCCTATGATCCCTAAGATCTAAAACTTTTATAGCTTTGCCAATCCGTGGTATGATTCGGTGGATGTGCAATTCCAACCACCCTGATTTCCTCTTTGAGACACATATTTTGTACTAAATCGAATCCAACACTAATGATCTTGGTGGACTCCTCTAGCATTATCTTATCCCTCATGACCTGAATTTTGCTAAGTTTTACTGCTTTCTTTACATTTCTAGTCAATTTACATATCAAATTATGCAGCTCAGCCCATCAGCCTAGATTTTACTTTTGTGAATTTTTGTAACTTCTTCATAAAATAATTACATTTTCTTTCTAGTTTTAGCTTTCATTCCGCTTTCGTTTGCTATTTAGGCAAGCATACTGAAGTTATATTAAATTTTAAGTCCTCTTCTGCTCGATGCACATAACAGAACTTAACTGAACCAGTAGTGTTCCACTTGATACAAAATCATTTAGTTAGAAGTTAGATTAACCTGCAATTTTCACAAACACTCAAACATAAACATTGTTTGTTGGCAGCCTTAAGCAGTGGCATGTCTATTCTCTTTTTCTCCCAAGCTATATAATGGCATTGAGATTGAAACCTACACTTGGGTCAAATACATATAGAACCTAGTCCGGACTCCATCCAATTTTTGACACCAACAAGGGGAACGACAATCATTGGTAGATACATACAGTTTAGGTTGACAAGGAAAGGGGAGAGAATTGGTTATTTAATTTTTAATTTTTTAATTTTACTAATTTTATGTCAAGGGGTACAATTGGAATACTATTTCCAACTGTAAGAGAGAAATAAATTATCTTTAAAAAATATAAACGTGGCAAATTTTTATTAAGTTGATATACCAAGTCATATTTGTATCGGATACACACAAGAATTTCTTAGTAAATTAGTAAATAAAAGTAAAGCGATCATAATATTTAACCTACTGCAAAACTCTAAGACATGAAAACACCAAAAATATATACCCCAACATAAAATTAATGCAAATTACTAACTTGTAAAAATTTCCAGCATGTATTTAGTTATTAAAAGAGTATTTTATGAGTTCTATTTTACATTATTAACTTACCTGATGAGCATGAATTAAACCCATCAAAGCCCATGCAGTTTGTACTAAGTTTGATCTTCTTCCTTCAAGTGGTATAATTTTCTGCATATAAAACCCACAATTTGCTTCTTAGAGAGTATAAATAGCTTTTCGTGGTTTTTTACACTATGGCAAGGGTCTCTTTACACTAGCTAGGGCAGTTCAGCGTAGAGGTTTGTATATATCAATGAATGACTTACAGAGATTTAGTAAACCTCCCTGATTAGAAGATAAAGAATTTACATTGCGTAGACATGAAAGGTAACTCTCTCCCCATCCACCGTCATCTCCTTGGGTTGCCAGTAGAAAATTAACCCCGTTGCGCATAGCCGGACAATTGTAATAAGTTTTTCCAGTAGTAGCTAAACCTTTAAGCGCAAACCATGTACCATATGTGAAGCAGACTCCCCAACTTCCATACCTGTACATGTATTGATTGCCAATGTATAGTTAACGCATTAATCATTACTCTAAATATATAGTATCATAAATACAAATTTCAAAGAAATGCTTGGAATATTTTTTTTTCAAAACCACGGAGAGCCTACCCTGAGCCATCGGGGTTGTAGAAATTTTCAGGTCGACGGGCCGAGGGCCCACTCCAACAACACCGATACTATCCCCACTTAACCACCTGCACAATCCTCAGGTGTGAGGTTTTATCACAAAAGGCCTCGATATTAGTTAGAGAGGGGTATTTCTATTTAAAGCACTCTTCTCTTCTTCCTCTGTCCGATGTGGGACTGGGGGTTCCAACAGGGGTTTTGTGCGTCTTCAAGAAATTGTACGGCACTAACAATGAACTTTTCTATCTCTTCCTTCCGATACTCAGGATGTAACTTCTTAAACAAAACTAGAGTTTGTAATGCAGAGGAGGTGCACTCAACATGCCTAGATCAGTTTAGTTTATTCAGGACCCGAGAATATGAAGGGAAAAAAAATTTGATGAAGAAAACGTCAGGATCTTACTCATGCTCAACGACCACGCCCTCGAGAAATTCCACTGGATTAAGCAACTAGATGGGAACAAAAGAGAGAATCTCTTTATATATGCAACACAAAATTTAATTAATTGTGTATGTAGTAGTTATTGAGATAGCTGAAATCTGTTT